ACCGTACCGCAGTGTTGCGCCCACACCATGCTCAACCAGTGAGCGGACCGGTCTCTATATGGGATCCGAACCCTCGGCGGGAGCGCCGCCGCGCTCCCAAGTGCCACACTCTACCGAGTGCGCCACCCGGCCGGCCCTTGTCTTTGCTTTTCTATCTTGACAAATATTTCCAACTTTACACCGTCTTAGAAGAGACAGAAGGGTGACTTATAAGCATGAACAGCCGATTTTATGTTCAATCACGCTTCGTCCTTACTCATTCAGTGAGTCATATTCATCTCCCTGGAATTTAAGGCAAGTTGTACTCTTTGGTGTGATATTGTAACCCGGTGAAACCTGCTGTGACTTGTGGGACATAAGCAGTCCTGTGTCCTCTTCGTAGGACCCCATTGTTGCACTGTCAGTTTTAGCAAGCAGATGCAACTGGACTCATTTATGAAATCTTCCTAGTTATTCTTGCCTTATAGAAAACTTTAGAATTTCTTCAGACTTCTAAGAAACCCAGAATCTGTTGCAAATATTTTTTTCATTTGAAGTCATCTTTGCCTATTTTTAAATGTACAGTGGTGTATTTATTTGCCTTGGGTTTAGATTCTTCTCTTGGCTCCTCATCTGGCTTCCGACTTCTTCCATAGCACAGATCAGCTCGCAGGGGACAGCACCTGCCCGTGGGTTTTTGGTGCTTTGTCACATCACTCTCTGTGTCCTTCACTGTGTAGGTCATTTCATGCCATTCATTCGTAGCAAATCAACCTGAGTGCTTACCGTATCTGTTTACTGCTAGGAGAGCTTGTTCCATTATGAAGATAATTCTTTTTGAACTACAAAAGTGAAGTCTTTTCCCATAAAGGACTCCTGAGAGCACATTAGGGTGAATTTTATCTCATCCTTTGTTAAAAATTGTATCAAACTACTTCTTAAAGGTTTTAAAAGCCCATGAAAATACCAAATCTCTACACGTTCTATCAGTGTGTCCTCTGGTTTTCTTATGCCCGTTGCAAAGAATGGTGTGTGATCGTGGCATGCACCACAGCGAATGACTGGGTGGGGGCATAAGAGAAATACTTTGTGTATTTATCCAGCACGAGGCTGTCATTACTCCTTGTCTATATTCTTAGCATAACTTTTCCATCACTTCTTTATGGAATGTGTTATGTGCACTGACTTAGAGGAGGGTACAGGAGAAACAGGTGGGTTTTTGTTGCTATGATGATAGTCTGGTGGAAGTTACTGATTTCTCTGATAAAAGTATTAATTAGAAACTTTCACTCAGAAAACACTTCTAATTTTTTTGCAGTTTAAGTGTTCTGATGGAAAAGGAGGGGGTATTTTCAGTAGTTGTGGTGACATGCGTTGGCTGTGGTGTTTTTAATGGCCTGTTGTGATTTTAGAATTGCCCACTGTAAACTTCAAAAGGTCTTGAGCTAAGAGATGCTGGAGGCCTGATTCAGAATATAATTGGAATCAGGATGCTGTCTACATGTAGGGGTCACAGTGGGACAGAAGGAGCTCACCTGCCCACACAATTAAAAGGGTGTAATTGATACCATGGAGAATACTGCCCTGTGGTTCTTTAAAGAATTAGTTTATTATATGAAATAAATTGACCGCTACGGATTTTGTTGGAGGGAGAAGAGGAATATGGGACTGAAGAGGAATTTTTAGAGCAGCAGAGTATCTGTGATCGTGGTGGCTGGTGGCCTGCTCTCTTCCTCCCAGCCTTGGAAGTGGCACACGTGCTCCATAGTGACCTTTTGGGTCAAATGAATGTATTTTAATCTGAATATTGGGATGACCCCCCTCTGTCTCTGTCTGTATCTCTCTGCTAAGTAGCAGAACATACCATTTTAGGGTCTCTTGTCATGTCATAGGGAAGTGATCAGTCACAATACTGCAAGTAAGTGAATGAGGAGTGATGGTCTATGCCTGACTTTGAGGGACTTGACAGCTCTTACTGATGATGGAAGGGGGGTCTGATGTGATTCTGTTCCTAGACTTCTCAGTTTCTGTTAACTCCATAATGCCAAATGGGGGCTTTTTTCCCAGTGCAGATTTAATGAAGCTAATTTCCTATGGGATGACGAAGAAAATCTTAATGGTCCAGTATTCTGTAATGTTTTCTATTCACGTGTTGGATCTTTTTCCTTTAACCCCCAAAACAAACATCCAAGGCCGAGTCTGACCAGGCTGCACCCCCAGAGCCGAAAGCAGAGGAGGCCCCTGCCGCTGCCACCCCTGCTGCTGGGCTGGACCTCGGACTGGACACTCGGGCCGAGGAGCCAGGGGAGGAGGCAGAGGTGAGCACCACCTACCTCACGGCCACAGCCCTGCTCATCTCATGACCATGTGTCACTTCTCGTCCCTGCCCTACTCGGGTCACACAAGCTCTGTGCCCGTCACGGCTCCCCGGGCTCAATCAGCTTCATTCCTTCAACAGTGAAACTCCATTTCCTTTCATTTTGTTAAAAGGAAGATATTTGGAGAACTGACCTTATGATCTAGAGGAAACTGTCACATAGCTGCAGGCGTGGCTTTCCAACAAGGGGGCTTGGTTATTTTTGTTGCTCTCCCCGTTCGTGGGAGGTGGGTGTTGATGCCGTGCTCTGTGACGGCTGGAGACGTGCCTTCAATCAGGGACCAACATGCATGCGACAAACAGAAGGCTAATAGCTGTTAGTTCTGTAGGTTGGTTAAGGCCCAGTGAGGGACTGTATATTAGTCCACGTCTGCTGCTTATAACAAAATACTTGGAACTGGGTAATTTGTTAGGAAACAAAGTTTATT